ATACCCTAAAATATAAGCAAAAAATAGTGGTTCTTAGAGTTCTTAACCTTTAATGGGTCTCATTTGATCTTTTACTTATATATATTATATTATATATATATTATATATATATATATATATTATATATATATATATCTATATATATGAGAGAAAAGGTGAATATACCCTTAAGGGTATATAAGCTTAGGTACACAAACTCATCATACTACGTCGTTTTGTATCATATAATACATTTTAATTGTCCAATGTTCTTATAATTTAACTTCTAACTTGATTTACTTCCAAGATTTTTATAATTTACATATTTATCTTCCTCTTACATAATTTTCATTTTCAACTACAATATATATAACCTAGTAGGTGTTCGGCAAAAAGATAAGATGTAAGAGAATGATAATAGTGAAATTTCGAATATCTTGAAAACAAATCAGGTTAGGGTTAAAGTTTAAGAATATTATAATAAATATATCAAACAAAACGACGTATTATGGTGGGTTTGGATACCTACGTTTATACACCCTTAAGGGTATATTCACTTTTCCATATATATATATATATATATATCTATAATATATATATCTATATCTATATATACAAGTAGGTTCATACGAAAACATAAATATCCTGCGAAAACGCAAAAACAGATTTTATCTTATAAAAATCAAACACAAGTACTATAAAAATTAAATTTATTAACAATAAATTAAAGATAATAAGTTTACATTGGATTGTGTTATGATATTATAGATTTAAAGACGATTTTATCAACTATTTTTTTTTCACGTTCTTGACCACTTTTAAATTCATGTTTTCATAATAAAAATGTCAAAAATCATATTTGCTAATATGAAATAATTTATCATGTATAATTGATTATCATCATGTAGTTCAAAGTTTGGATGGTTATTGTCCAAATATAGGTTGAGGTGGCACAATCTCATAGTTTTTTCTGTTTTCGCGTTTCGCAATTATTTGCATTTTTCGCATGAACTCTCCCCTATATATATATATATATATATATATATATATATATATATATATATATATATATATATATATATATAGAAGTAAGTTCAAATAAAAACAGTAACTAGTATGAAAACGTAAAAACGCTATATTTATGTTATTATTCTGCAATGAACGTTGTATATGTGTATTATTGAAGTAATTCTAATATGAATATTAACGTTTGATTATTTATATATTCATTATAAAGTTATTATTTTATTATAAATTTATGTGTGTGCATTTTTGTAGTAAATTTTAATTTTAATTTTAACTTGTGACTATTCATTTATTTACCGTTGAATAATGACATAAAGCTGTGGTAACAAAATTCATTGCAGAATAATAACATAAAAATAATGTTTTTATGTATAATGAACGATTAGGGCAACACATAAATAAATAACTTCCACAAATAACTTACAATGAAAACCTGACAACACATTACTTTAGAATAACTACATAAACAACTTCCACAATACATTACTTGTGAATAAAGAAATGGACACATGTCATTTGATTATTGGTTCCAGCATATGTTGCCCTAGTTATTCAGAACTCATGTCTCTCTCTCTCTCTCTCTCTCTCTCTCTATAGATATATATAGATATATAATATAGAGATATATATAGATATAGATATATATATATCGATAGATATATATAATGAGTTTGGCATTACTTAATTTACGTTATTATTTTTATTTATTGCTAATTTCTTACATTAATGAATTTATTATTAAGCAAACTTACTTTTGTTTGTGTAAAGTAAATATGCAATTGTGATTTTGAACTTGTATTCTCAATTCTATTGATTGTAATCAATAACAGTATAGATATTATTTTTAAACGCTTGATTTAATTTGTTTGTTAACAATGATTTATTATTATTATTATTATTATTATTATTATTATTATTTTTGCCTGCGTTTGAATCCAAACAAAAAATAACTTTGAACCTAATCAAAAAGAAAATAATAACTTGAAGTTTAAATTTAAAAAATTTAAACTAAAAGTTTGGATTTTTTTAATATATTTTCTAATGTAACTTTACTTTGAAGTTTAAATTTAAAAATTTTAAACTAAAAGTTTGTATTTTTTTAATATATTTTCTAATGTAACTTTACTTGTCTTAGAGGATATTATTTACAACCCAACCCGATAACTTAATTTGTCAACCCATTTATTTTGCTGCATCTATTAAGGATATCCGGAGTGGTAATGAGAAGACGTGTGGGAGGCTGACGTGTCAGCCCCCAAGATGCGTGAACACCGTCCCCATCTCCGGTGGGTTGAGTGTGGCGTCCTCATGGAGACGGGATAAGACGTTTGATCTGATTAATTATTCAATTTTGACCGTTGTCATGTGACCGTTTGCTCATTAAAAAAAAATTAATTATTTAATTACTACTCTTTTTTTCATTTCAAACACACACATTTTTTCAACACAAACACACATATTCACCAAAAAATATTCCTTCCTCACATATTATTATAGATTCAAACCAAAATACCTCACCCACTCCGAACACCCCAAACACTCTAAATGATCCGTTAGCGAATCTTAGCTACATGGAATTGATATTATCTCCAATTCAACAACAGCATCTATTCACCAATCTTATATACCACCCACACTACGACCAACAACAACAACCACCACAATTCATTCAACCCCAATTTCAAGCCTTTCAACAACAACATTCTCCGCAATTTCAACCCCAAACTTCTCAACCTCAACAAACTTCACAACCATCTCAAGTTCCATTATCTCAATCTCAACCCATAAACCTCGACAATGATGACGACGACGAACGAGTTGAAAAAACACAACCAAGTCGTAGAAGGCAAAAAAAAATCAAAAGATCCAAGGAAAAAGAAAAGTACGCAATGGATCGAGGAGGAGAAGGAAACTTTAGCTAAATCTTGGATTTTCATATCATAAGGCGGGGATGTCGGCAACGCGCAAACGGGTCAAAACTTTTGGAATCGTGTTTTAGACAACTTCCACGCGTTATTAGGAAAGCAAAGGGGTCGGACATACGACTCGGTCGATGCAAATGACGTGACCTTCGAGCGGCTTGCACCAAATTTAACTGCGTATTTGACAATCTTAAAAATATGCATAGAAGTGGTAGCAACGATTTCAACATTTTATCAACCGCGTTGTACCAATACAAATTCACCAACAATGGTAAACCATTTGCCAACCAAAAAGCGTTGGAAGTTTGTCGCAATGGTCCAAAATGGGTCCTTTATCCGGAAACGGCGCATTCGGGATCTACCACCGGCTCCAACAAAAGGTCGAGAACGTCCGAGTCAGACATTGGTGTTAACCTCGACCTTAATGATGAGTTCGACGCCACCGAGAGGGAGGGTCAGGGACAAAGTGAGAAATGGGGCGTCTTCTAGCGGAAAATCAACCAACGATGACGTACTAGCAGAGAAAATCGATAAAACTCTAAAAATTTTTAAATTTTTTTTTTGAATCAACGAAGGAAGTTCGTCGGCAACAATTGGCAGTCACCGATCATCAATGGTGCCGCAACCGAATCTCGACCCGAAAAATTTAAGGGTGTTTTTAAAAATTCAACAAGAAGTTCTCGACAAATATCGCAACTAGATTTTATGTTTTTTTATGCTTTTTAGTAATTTAGGTTTAATTTTCTATGTTATTTTTATGTTTTTTTAGTATTTTAGTTTTCATTTTCTATGTGTTTTTATGTTTTTTTAGTAATTTAGGTTTAATTTTCTATTTTTTTAGGTTTAACTTTCTATGTTTTTTTAATTAATATAATGTGGTTTCAATTAATGTAAAATATTTTATTATGTTTTAATTTAATTTAATCATAAAAAAAATATATAAAAAAAATTATGAAGTGGTAACCATTTTCTATGTCTAGTGGGTCGGTGGTGAAGCTGACGTGGTACAGATGTGACAACACTTTTTCTGGTGGTGACCACTCCTCGCGGCCTAAATTGGACACAAATGGATTTCAATATTGGATTAGCTACTATGCAGAAGCCAATTTAAAATTAAAGAGCGCTTTCGCTAATCGGTTAACTCATTAGCTAAGTCGTCAAGCATAAATGTATTTCAAAAAATTTCTTTATCTTGTTTTCTATAAGGCATCCCCTCTTACTTATTTTATTTAGTTGATCGATACAAGAGTAATATAAGTGATAAATATATGTTTCTTAATGAGAATTTTCAAACATATTCCTTCTTTTTAAACCAATACGTGTTTTTTTTTTCAATACAAATAGGTCCTTCGGTTTTTTAAGCCGTAATTTATTTTTGGGTATATAATTTCAATTTTTTTTTTAATTAAAACTTTGACACACCTTCCTAACTATTAAACTCGCCTCATGTGCACTTTAGATCTTAAACAAACTTTAGTAAGTAAATTAACACTAATATAGTAGTTAGTGTCCAATGTCAACATACGTCAACGAAACCACAGGAGGTTTTTCTATTTAATTTGGTAGGGCACTTGGCATTGTGAATTTACACATAAATTGATTATTATAATTTAGAAATCACGGGACAAAATGTTCACTGAATTAAAAATAAACTATATATTAAAGACTGCTACATACAAATTTATTTAGAACTTTAAAATTTAAAATTATTAATTATATGATTAAAGTTTTATTTTTGTAAACAGACCATATGAAACAAATGTCAAAACATCTTATTGACCACAAGAATAGACAATCATTCAACCCGAGAGTTACATCATAAAATACGACATATTCATGATAACAAGCAATTATGATAGGAGATGCAAAAAATTTCACTAAAACATAAAATAATAGAAAATTGTTATTTAATGTTTATTTTAATTTAAGGAAACGTATTTACATATTTATCTTATAATATTAAATTATTCTTTTGTATGCTATTGTGTAATTTTATCTTTTTTCGGTTAAATTATCAGCTAGCTTTTTACCGAATCACTTGCTAGCTAGCTTTGCAGCTAAATTAAAAAAACATAGCCAAAAGCTCAAAAAATAAAAACTTTTTGATTTCAACGTCTAATTTTGTGTCATTTCATCCATAAAAAACTATTTACAAGTGGGAATAATGTCCCTAAACACAGATTGTAAAAAGAAACATTCTACATTTTGGTTCAACTCCCAAAGCAGCCTTCACCACATCATCAGTCAACTCTGTGTCTATCTCTTTCTCTTTCTTTCAAAGCTTTCAATAGATATATCTTCTAATGAAACTTTAAAAGCTTAAGTATACGCTTCTCTTTAAAATATTACTTTTTGCATTGCCTTTTAGGGGTCTAAATTTTGCATAAAATGTGTTTGGAAATTTATGCAGCTGAGATTGATTGCGTTTTTTGTCGAGGAGGGATGCGAAGCCATGACTTCATCATGTCATATGCTGTGAAACCAATCGCAACCGAAGGAACAATCTACCAACAATTGTGCATCTATGTTAGTATTTTTTTTTTTATACAAAAAAAAAAATCATTTATTAAGACAGAGAACACTTATTTCTTATATATATGTACACTTAGAAACACCAATAAATCGGTTGCAATATTTTCTTTTTTGAACAAATTCTCAAACAAAATAACATTTTCTAGCAGTTAGTTTGGCATAAACATTCAACCAACCATTATACATTCAAAAAAGTAAAAAAATAACATTGTTTGTAGTAGGAAAACATGTTTGAAAATGGCAAAAGTTGTCAAGTATAAGGGTTATTTTCACACATTCTTGGCAGCTATAACGGTTTTCCTTTTACAAAATTAGTGTATGAAGGGATTATAAATAAATATTACACATTTCATTTGCAAAAAAATAAATAATAATAAAAGGTCAATTAAGATTATAATAAATATATATTTTTTGTTAGTTGCTATATATATATATATATATATATATATATATATATATATATATATATATATATATATATATATATAAGAAACAAGTGTAACTGAATTAAAATGGTGAGATTTTAAAAAAGAAGATAAAGATGTGTGATTTGAAATTGCATACCGAAATAAAAATAGATTGGTGATTCTTGCATTAAAGGCATCTATGTAATTGTAATTGAAAGTTGAAAGAAAAGAAAAGAAAGAGGTACCTTGATGTAATTTATGCTGAGGCCAGCAAATAATTGCCTCCATCCTTGTTGAGAGACAATAGTGGTGATCCCCTGCCATGTATTCTTATGTCTCCCACCCCCCAACCCTTGCATATTTTCAACCTACATACATACAACAATTAATTTTCAAAATCAACCACTCACTTTCATTTCTTTCTATTAAAACATTCCACTTTCTTTCTTTCTTTTTTCTTATTAAGACATCGTATTATAATTATTATAGCATTGATCACTTCTTTTGTTTATTATAGCATCCTACTTTCATTTCTTTCTATTATGACATTGTAATTTCAAAAAAAAAAAAAAAAAAAAAACTGTACTTTGAAAAATCCAGGGTTAATCTCATAAAAGACCTTATATTTTGTGTTTTTTTCTGGATTAAACCTCAACTTTATTTTTTACATGAAAAAGACCTTGTATTTTTTCATTTTGTCCGTTTGGCCCTTTTAATCATTTGTTTCCAACCAATATGTAAAATGTGAGGTTTTTTCGAGAAAAACTGAAAAAGTTGAGGGTTTATTTGGAAGCAGTTAGAAGGTTGAGGGTTTTTTTTGGAAAAAAAAAAGACAAAGTTGAGGGTTTTTCGGAAAAATAAAAAAATACAAGGTCTTTTTCAGGCAAAAAATAAAGTTGAGGTTTAATCTGGAAAAAAAAACACAAAAATAAGGTCTTTTATCAGATTAACCCAAAAATATAATGAATTAAATCAGTGATAACTGCTTTGTATTTGGATGAAACTACTAAAATCAGGTAGATTTTTGATAAGTAGAATGCAAAAGAAAGTAATACAAGAAATTAGAGCTTGAAAAATGTAAGAAATAAATAATTACAAGTAGGTTGCTATTTAGTTGGCATTTAAGGAAGCAAAATAAAATTAACAGGTACCTGCATCTGCCTTCTAACAACATCTAAAGGGTATGTGAAGGTTTGGCCAAATAAACCAGCCAAAGCACCACAACACAAACGCATCATGATTGATCTCTGATGCTCTTCAGAAACATGTCTTTTCAGCTTCTCATAAATATAAAACTTCAAACCAGCATATGGCAGAATACCAATAAGTGTTGGACCTGAAAACATATTTAGTAGCCTATAAGAAATATTAGGCAAATATATATATATATATATATATATATATATATATATATATATATATATATGAATATGATATAATAACAACATACCTACACCTCGATACAAGCCACGCATACCACCCTCTGTATAGACACTTTGTAAAACATTTCTAATGCCACTGTAGCGAGGCTGTGTAGTAGTAATACTTTTACTTTTAGAACCATTTCCCAAACTTGCTTTTTCATCCACAACCTATAAAACCAGAAAGCAAAATAAGAATTGATGAATTCCAAAATTATTTGAAACATTAAAATGATTTGAGGAAAAAAAAAAAAGAACTGACTTGATAAGCGAGTTTGGTGCGAGCCAAATCGAGAGGATAAGTGCATAAGACAGCAGTGCCTCCAGCTGCTGAGCCGGCTAAGAGATCTACAACGGGCCCCGTCCCTAATAATCCAGTGTAGTTGTCCAACACCCAACATCTGTACTGCTCGTATGTCATGAAATGCAATGCTGCATATGGAACTATTCGAAGAACACTAGCTCCATTTCCTCTGAAAACACCCACCAAACACCATGCCATATAAATATCTACTCATTTACATACATACATTCTAAATTATGCAACTTCCATTTCCATTCATTTGTTTATCATAGCATTAGCATCCTACTTTCATGTCTTCCTCTACCCGATTATAGCAATGTCATCCTACTTCAAATCTTTTTCTTATTAAGACTATGTTTGGCGTACTGGTTGAAAAGCTAGCTGTTAGCTGAATAACTAGCTGACAGCTGAAAAGCTAACTGATAAAAAATGACATTTGGTAAAACTCACTGATAAGATAGTTGAAAGATATAAAATGGAACACAAGGACATTTAAAAGAATATGCTTTCTATAACTAATTAAGGGGTATATTTGGAAATTTTTAAAAAATCTCCTGAAAAGCTAGTCAAAGTAGCTTTTTAAAAAGCTAGCTTATAAGCTATTTTTTGACTTGCCAAACATGACAATTTAAAAAAGCTCAAAAAATAAGCTAGCTGTGGCGCCCCAAACACAGCTTAACTGAGTCGATTTTTCATGGTACATCGTCTTAATAAGAAAAAAAAAATGGAAATACAATGCGGTAATAAAAACAGATGAAAGTAAAGTAAACAAAAAAGGTTGAAAACAATAAATAGCAACGTACTTTAATTTATTTGTTTATTATACTATTTTACTTTCATTTCTTCAAATTATGGCATTGTACTCTGAAAATCCACCCAATTATAGCAATGTCTTCCAAATACAAAGCAGCTTTCACTGCTATAGTTGACTAGGCTTTTCAAAGTATAATGTATGATTGTGTAGATTTTTCAAAGTATCGTCTTTATAAGGGAAAAATTGTAAGTTTAGTATAGTAATAGAAACAAATGAAAGTAAGATGCCACAATAAACAAAAAAGAAGGTTAATGCAAAGAATAGCAACATACTTTTATTCATTTGCTTGTTATACAATCTTACTTGATTTCTTCCTATTAAAGCATTGTACACTGAAAAATCTACACAATGATAGCAATATGTCATTCAAATACAAAGCATTTTTCACTGCTATAAAAAGGGTAGATTTTTTCAAGTACAATGTCCTAATAAGAAAAAAAATAATAATAATAAAGTACAGTACTATAAGTGGATATGTTTTTCAAAGTACAATGCTTTAATAAGAAAAAGATTGCAAGTGCAACGTCTTAATAGAAAGAAACGGAGGTATGATGCTAGATATATTAATAAATAAAAAATGAAAGAAATGGAAGCAATAATATGATGCTAGACATACTTGTAAAATCCTGGAAGCCCTTCATGCTTTAGTAGTCTTTTCAGTGATTGATAGACTCCAAGAGACTGAAAACCTTGAGTTCGAGTCTGAATATACAAATAGAAAAGTTATAATATAACAAATAGAACAAAATCATGTATGGAAATTGGATATTGATGCATGATTCATCCCTTCTTTCTGCTACATCTTTTTACTGAATCATAACTTTTTTACCATTAAATTCATGAAGAGTGCAACAAGTGCCAATTTTCATGATCATCTCATTATGTCCTTATGTGGTAAACAGATTTGAAGCTCTAACATGTCATATCAAATTCTGGAGCCTAAATTGCAAAGATCACATAAAAAAACTCAAGCACATTACTGGTTGATCAATTTAGGATTTTAACATTGACTCTTTCCAGATATATACTACTCTTCAAAGTTCAAATATTGATATCCTAAAACTTAATGTTTCACATTTATCACTTTCTCCATGAATGCACACCATCAGAATTGTCTATAGAATCCAGTTGATCTTACATACAAACCAAGTTTCTAAATCTGATAAAATTCTGCATCAAATAATCTTCCAAATCTCAAATCCCTTATGCATTTATAGACATTGTAAACTGCTTAATTTTAACAATCAATGAATGCAAACAGCAACAGAAAAAATAAAGTCAAAGTGACAAATAGAGATACAAAACAAGTAAATAAACAAAACATAAATCGAAATTCCACATGTAGTAAGATCTTAATCCTTTCTAGTGGAGCAATGGAAGGATAATTTAGGGTTAAAAGAAAATGGTATTGGCAGTAAACATTATTATCTTAACATGGATGCAATTGATTTGATTCAAAGAAAATTCTCATCATAATGATAATTATGATATCATCCTTCGAGTACAAGAGTACCCTTATATGGAAAGTTGAATCATATCATTCTTGTTTTTTATTTAATAAAACAAGATAATGATTGAAATGGTATTAATATCATTCATTATATGGTAAAACACATATGCAGCTCTAACATGCCATATTGAATTATAACCCCTTTGAACTCAAATACAAACCAGCTTCTACATCTGATAAAATCACAAGTTCCTTATACTAATATGCTACATTGTGAACTTCTCAATTTAACAATCAATGAAAACAAACAGCTACAGTAAAAAATCAAAGAAACGTCATTGTAAAAATGAAACTAAAGTGGCATGGAGATTATAAAAGAAAAAGTAAATAAACAAAGCATTAATCAAAAGACCCACCTGCAATAAGATCTTAATCCTTTCGAGTGGAGCAACAGCAGTTTTAGCAAATGCTCCTGCAGCACCTCCAGCTATTAGTTCCTTGACATACACAGGCAATGTATCTAAATAAGCAACCTCTCTCCCATTAGAAGAACCCTCGACCAATCCTGCCACATTTGTGGATAGTGAAGAACCTTGGGAAGAACCCATCTTGAAGAAATACTCCTAAAATCACAATCTAAAAACCAAACGCCCTTTTCTTTTCAAACACTATGAATGTCCCTATTCCCTATCCACCCTGCAATTTGAAATAGTCCTTATCCCATCTATCTCTAGCAGTTGGCTCAACCCAATGTAGAGACAACCGCCTGAGCACACACAGAGATATGTTCGCCAGACAATTTTTATAACCGACGACAACAACCATATGCATCAAACAGAAAAAAGTAAAAGAAGAATATCAAACCGATCGAATTACCCTAAGACAGAATCAATATTCCATATTGATCTCTGTTGATCTACTTTCCGTAAATCTCTTGCGTGCAAATTAAAAACCAAAAAAACAACCTTCGGAATAACAAGAAATCGCAATACTCAATTCAGATTTCTCGACATAAACCTTAGAAACTGAATCCTCCAGCTAAAATCGAAATGATCAATAAACAAGAGTCGGCGGAGATAACAAGAGATCGGCAATACCCAATTCAGATTCCTTGGTATATAACCTAAGACGTCGATTGATTCTAAGTTGTAGTTGCGTAGGAGAGCAGGTATCTTGATGCATTTAATTTCTTTCAGTTGGCGTGAAATAAGAATCAGATACCCGTTCTCCTTTGGAATGGGAAAGTTGTTACCTTCCTTGAGCCTTCTCTCAAATTGGGAGAGATTTCTTCGTAGATCTACCAGTTTCTGGGAAATTGCATTGGAATTTAGGGTTTAAATAATAAATGTCAATCAGTCAAAATCGTGAGCCCCTGTTTTTGAACAGGACGTTTGGATTGTTGACCATTATCTGCCAATCATGTGAACTCTGCCGCAAAAGGGTTTAGCAAATGGACGTCTTCGTTTTTTCTTAGCACAATCTAACCTTTTTTTTCTTAGATTCATATTTTTCTACTTATTATTCAACAATTTTTTTCTGCTTATTATTCAGTAGAAACGAGGTTACTATGTTTAAAATTATTAGATAGAAAAAAGAAAAATATTAAATGTCCATATAAAAAATACAATGTATTTCAGAACGTAAGTAAAGTTGAATTAATATGATAAGTAAATAAGCATAATACTTTAACATAGATTTTGAATGATTTTTTTATATATTACATTTGAAGTTTTATTCGCCAGATTACCATCTTTATTTAAAATCAATAACTTTAATCATTATTTAATTTTTACTTTGGATAAAATAACATATAATTGACTGTATATGCAAAGTGGTCCTTATAAAAACAAACCAACATTTGACAATGATTGACCTTGATTTTATTTATGGTCATAGCACAAAAAAAAAAGTAGGGGATATTGTCATCTTTTGAATTTTAATAAAATTTTGATGTCTAAAGGTATTAAAGACAATCTTGAAATAAAAGTTCGATATCCGATATTACTTTCGGTTATGACCACTATTTCTATGATGCGATTACCCAATGATAGCACACGAAGTCTTGTCTCATTACATAAGCCATTTTTTGGACGATGTTTCTTAATAACATAACCAAAACACTGACTTTTAAAATTAACTTATGGTTTAGCAAACTGGAGATTTTAAGTTCATTTAGAACTTCAAGTGAGTATAAAGTCTCATCGAATAGTTCGTGAAGAAACTTTTATTGGCAGATCTATTTGAATTGATGTATTCTTTTTCATCTCTAAGGAACAATGACAACAGACGATCATTTACTTCTTGAAATACTTCATTTTTCGGTGCAAGTCTTGTTCATTCTTCAAAATAATTTGCATTGTTGAAGTTTTCATGAAATGATGGATATACAAACTCAATTAATGAACCTATAGCATCACAAGATTAAGTAATAAGAAGCTCGTTAGGAATATGAATAATTGTATCACCATCATTAGAACCACCCGTATTTCCTTCTCTTATATCCAACAACTAATTTGCAATTAACCTTGTTTGTTGTATTTTAGATGGATCACTTCCAACAATCAACCTCATGTCCTTTGTTAATTTTAGTACTTTGCAATTGCTATATATATATATATATATATATATATATATATATATATATATATATATATATATGAAGAACTTAAAGATGCATTAACAATTTCTTGTCTGCTACCATTGGAAACAACTGGTAGAATTTGTCTGAAATCACCTCCAAATATGATTACTTTGACTTCAAACAAGATATATGAGTTGCTAACATTACCAAAACTTAATACATCCTTTAAAGCGTGATCCAATACTTCAAATGCATGCTTATGAACCATTGATGCTTCATCCCAAATAACCAATGATGTTTTTTTTAGTAATTTAGAGGCATCGTTGTTTCACTTTATAGAAAAAGAATCTTCATTAAGGTTTAAAGGAATACCAAAGCGAGAGTGTGATGTTCTACCTCTGGTTAGCAACAAAGAAGCAAATCTGCTTGAAGCAACATTTAAAACAATACATCCTGTATATATTATGGTTTTTGATAACGTCTTCCATAGAAAGGTATTTTCTGTTTCACCATAACCATGAACAAAAACAAACCTCCGTTATTATATTCAATTTCTATCATGACATCGTCAAAAACACCTCGTTGTTCATTTGTTAATGAGTCAATAAGTGTCTGAAATTTGTTTTGAAGAGTTGTGATGAAACGTCCCAAAAATGAAATATACAAGGTAAAAATTTCATTTTTAAATTAACCAAAACCAACATCCATTTATGCTAACAAGACGATAATCAGAGTATGATAATGTATCCTCAAAACATCAGTGATAAATCAAAAGATAGTGCATATTAAAACTCTGGGGTATGCAATGCGATCATGCTGAGCTCTTCCCCTTGGAACCCGAAGTACCTGAAAAGCATTAAACATAAAACTATAAGCACAAAGCTTAGTGAGTTCCCCCAAAATACCACATATACATACAGGACCTGCCCAAACATATAAACGGGTCCCACCCACAAGGCTCACCCAACATATAAACGGGCATCGCCCAACATACAAACATGTCCCACCCACGGGCCTCGCCCAACATATAAACGGGCCCCGCCCAACATACAACACATGCAAGAGTCACACAAACAATCTAGCCTCTTACACGGTATAATGATAAGACTCACCTCGCTATCGCAGGCAAAAGTCAACCACTCACACAATCCGAAATTGAGTGCTAAAAACTACCTAAACATACATACAAGGTGAACCCAGTAGTTCACTAACCCAAAACAAACAAATAATCTAAAAGCCAACCAAGTCAAAAAGTCAACGATCAAAAACCAAGGTCAACAGTCTGAAATTACACTTCAGCGAAACGCCACATCGTGGAAATCCCTGGCCACGTCGTGACATCGAATAAGACAAAACGGTCAGGTAGCCTCCCAGTCGCCAAGACGTGGCGACCAAGGTGTCACGGCGTGGGAACTGGGTCTTAACAACTTAATTGAATAAGTTGTTTTCTTTGTCCTTAAGAGCTCCAAAGCTCATATCTGATTCTTCCCAAGGTATTGATGGATAAAGTATCCAACTTTATCTATTAAGACACCCCACTAAGGCAAAATCTCCAACCTTAAGTCCTTAATGACATCCTAAGGCATGAGCTAACCCATTAAGCTCTTAATCAACCAATTCACCCAACCAACTTTCTAGAAGACTTTCATACCCAAAATACACTATAAATATTTGTGCTTTATGGACATGAATGTTCAATGCATGTCTCACCCATAGAAGGTCAAAACCAAGGAAGAAAAGGGCTCAAACTTGTGCATGAGACTAAATACTCTAAGGAATCCTAGATAGGGAACATATATCACCAAAATGACCTCAAAGACCCATAAAGTTGCCAACTTTATGGTATTCATCCATTCCAACTTTCACAACATGAAGAATAAGGGACAAATTAAAATCTAGAAGAATGAAATCTAAAGTTTGAGTCTTTAATACTTACAAAGTCCGTAAGATGTGCTAGAAGATGAAGATGATGCTTGCAAGGTGAACCACCACACCAAAAGGGCTTACTTCTCCGTCACTAGGCCAAAAACACCACAAGTTTCTTAAAAAATGAGATCAATGAGGCTAGAACCGATTAGGGTGTAACGCTTGATTCAGATATCATTTATTTCTCAACATTTTAGGGTTTTGGACTGGAACTCGATGAGTTAGGGAGCTCTGACTCGTCGAGTAGGGATCGTTTTGGACACGGGATTAAGGGTCTACTCGACGAGTTGGAAGGCCCCAACTCGACGAGTAGAAGCTGGAAAGGAAAACCCTAATTTGTAGTGTTTGCACCCTATGTAAAGGCCTTAACCCTCATTGTTAGCCTCGCTTACCGTCCCCTTTGTCCATAGAAACCCTAGTTCGTGCTTGTTCTCCCATTTTGAGTGTGTGAGACTTTAAGGAGTGCCTTTTGGTGTTTTATGTGAAGAAGCTTGAAGTGGTTGGTGCATAGTTGAAGGAAAAGACTGTAGATCCGGTGTTTACTCTGTTGAGGCAACCATTCTAAGGTATAAAGTCGATACCTTGGCCTTTTATTGCTTAGATCTTCTTCTATGAAAGTTTATGGCCATTATTATCCTAGTTTGGGACCATTCATGGACTTGAGCATGTTATGAAGATATGGCTTCAGATTTGGACATCCCAGGGCCTTTGTAGACTTAAAGTTGCCAACTTTATCAAGTCTTGGCTCTCCTTCATGCTCTAAGTCCCTCGATAAGCTTTGTTTGAGTGTTTTAGCCCCTTTGGTGTGTCACACCCCCGAACCAGACGGCGGAAACGTCCAAGGGCTCGTGTGACTTACATTGAAATATCATCACAATGAATATACATGAAACATAACATAAGCATCACCATGCATTAATACATTACAACCGTCATTGTTCACATCAAGTACATTGTTTACATTACATAATCCAAAACATAAATTGTTTATCGATTGACATTACACTAAAGACATTTCAGAAACACGCTTGATAATTCTTCAATCTAACAGTTACCTGAGAACACAAGTTATTTTGAAAACGGTCAACATATATAATGTTGGTGAGTTCATAAGCAGGTTTGATGTAAAAATGTTTTGTATTGTTTGTAAAACCCAGAAAATCCGATATTTTCTGTAACAAAAACTGTTTACGAAAAAGGTGTGATGATCCATAAGTATACGTGTATATGATTTCAAAACATATAAAAGTGAAATGCCTTTCATAATTGTTCCTTGTATCATAGTTGTTGTAAGTAGGAGTGAAAAATGTCGTTCCCCGGAAAACCCGATGTTTTCCGATTTAAATAGTATGATAGTTTTGTATTATTGTATAATCACTTTGCATCGTCACAGCGTATGAATATGATTTCCCATGATTACTTAGATGGTAATGGATCTCTATGTGAGTCGTTATAACCATGCATAATAATGACTAATTCACCTGTCTTGGCATTTTATCAAATGCCGGTTTTGAATTAAGATTTTGTCACCCTAGACTGGCCGAGTCTAACTATAGCGAACAGCTCAGGTGTGGGGGAGTCACCCCCGTATAGATCTATACACAAACTTTCGCTCTCCCTCCAGGAGACTCTGATTATAACTACAGACTACGACCGACACTTATTGGTGCCACCCGTTATTTCTCGCTAAATCCAAATGAAATTGAATAACATTGTTTTATAACCCGATTTATGTTTACGTGAATATAAGGTAAGCCTAACAGACAAGAAAGAGGACAACGGAGGCCCACTAACTTTGTATGTTATTACAGGCTGTCGAGTATGCTACGGACACGTTATAGCCCATTAAGCATATGATGAATGTTTAGGACCATATTAGCAATGCAAATGGGCCACTAAG